CAATTTGGGTTTGGCAAATGCAAGTTTGAGCAAAATAAAGTTGAGTTTAATTCATGAGTTTTTCAAATTCACTTCGAAAAGTATTCAAATTGATGTTTCAAATGTTGAGTTTTAATTTTTAAAGGGATTTGTTTCTAATCCACATATTGGCAACAGCGCCTATATCAAGTTGAAATAATTTATACGTACTTAGATATTCCACTTTATCTTTATAAATCAACAATTAAGCAAAATATGAGTTAAAGTTCAATTCCACCTCCACAAGGCACATAAACAACAGTTGTTTTGTTATTTATTTATATAGAGGAAGATAGGTTAGGTGCACAAAATGTCATATGTCACAGAATGTCTCGGAACTCAAGTAAATAGAACAGCACGCCTCTGAAATATGTCATCTTTGTTTGTCTCATACAGGTAACAGATTCATTGTTCTTTAATACCGATGCAATAACCGATGTTGCCAAATGGTGAAATGGAAACGAATACCTTTAAATGTTGAATGCATTTTTTCATTCCTCTTTTTTAAGTTAATGAATCGAAGAGGTTTTGTATTAAAGTGTATATTTTAAAATTCTTGCAAAGCGCTTTCGACTTTCGTCATCATCAGTGCTCACCTGAAATTAAGTGATCTAGTTGAAAATGGAATTTAGTGAAATTGAAGTTGTAAAATTTTTAAGGTTAAGAAATTTGGAAAAATTGTTTGAGATTACTTACTTGTCAAGCAACAGGAAGTATCAAGATAAGTGAATTGTACATTGTAATATTTGAATTATATAAAACAAAATAGGCTTATAGCCAAAAAAATACATTTTTGGATTGAGGCCATGTGGTTCAGTCAAAGTATCTTATGAAGAAGGACAACTTGAGACAGAATGTGTCAAGTGTCATGTTAAAATAATGGTACCAACTTGAGGAACTCTTCCATCTAAACCAGTCGCTCCGGTAAACAAAAATACCGGCACCAAGCCCAAAAAAGTGGTTAAAAAGATGTCAAAGCTCCGGGACGAAGCCAAGAACAACACTTCAGAGTCAGAACACTGGGGGAAAAATCCCCCACCAGACGTATACCTTACCTGAAGACAGGCAAATCAGAGCCGTCTTCAGAGGAGTCGCGGAACATCTGGAGACCGCTGACATCGAGGACGCCTTGGTTGAAAAGGTTTCCAACCATCATCCGTCACCAGGATGATGCGAGGAACCGACCCCTCCCCCTGGTTTTGGTTCAAGTGAACCAAAATCAGAAACATATTTATGACGTCCGGGATCTCCTTAACGTTAAAGTTAAGGTTGAGCCCTAACACCAGAAGACACTGGTAGGGCAGTGTCACCGATTCGGGCATAGCCAACGACAGAACTGCCTAGTTATTTCCATTTGCGTCAAATGCGTCGGCAGACACGTTTCAGGTGAGTGCAAGAAGCCACGAGCAGATCCGCCCAAGTGCAATAATTGCAAGGGTGCAAACTACCGCGGTTGTCCTGAGTTCCCCAGGGTTTGCAGGAGGACCAAAGTAGCTACAAATACCCCCCGAAATGCACACACACCTGAAAAGCGTCCTGCTGGATCATCTGGCACACGCCCAGGAATGAGCTACGCAAGAGCGGTAACACCTCAGCCAGGCCGACCGAGGCGCCCAGTAGTCCCGCCCGTCGAAGGTTAGTGATATCTGTTCTGCTCTGGACCAGATGAAAAAACTCTTCATTCAGTTCCCCGTACTCGAAAAGATGTTTACGGTGAACACCAACGTGCTAACTGGAACCTGTTAATGGCTAGACAACCAACATTGCCTAGTTCTCTTAAGGTTGTATTTTGGAATGCCAAGAGAATTTCAAACAAGAAATTAGATTTTGAGAATTTTCTAATACAACGAAACATCGATGTTGCACTGGTGCAGGAATCCCACCTGCAATGAACCTTCTTGGTATTCCAAACTACCGTTTTTACCACAGAGAACGCGTTGGACGTGCTGGAGGAGAAGTTGGCATTTTTGTCAAATGTAATCTTTCACACGTACAATTCGGCAATGACTCGGATCAGTTACATGGCACGGAAGCCTTGGGCGTTGAGCTCCAACTGAGAAGAGGTCGTCATAGACTAATCTCAGTTTATAACCCTCCGCTAAATCGTCTACTCCCAGAATCACTGCATGAACAGCTGATGTCGTCAAATACCCCCAAAATTGCTGCTGGTGACTTCGACCCCAAGCACAATCTGTACAGCAGACTCACCAATGCGAACGGCTGAGCGCTCCATGCAGGCCTTAAATCCCCAAGTTCTACCGTGGGGATTTAAGGCCTGATGTGCTTGATATCGCACTGCTCAGGAACGTTTCTATGTCCTGCGAAGTGTACACTTTGTCGGAACTTGACTCAGATCAAAATCCAGTAATCCTGATGCTGGATGATGATCCCCCTCCCCAGGATTATCGCATGAGATCATCCACGGATTGGAAAGCCTTCAAGGCTCACCTAGTGGAGACACGTACAGACCGTGAGGCGCTTCAAACTCGCATTGGCCTCGACGCGACAGTGGCGGATTTCGAATTGTCTATGAACAACGCTTTCCGCGCAGCCACAACCAGGACGGAGTGACCTCTGCGGAGCTACATTATGCGGTAGAGAAATCGACTCAGACGAGTTTATCAGCGGATTCTCTACCCTGGAGACAAGGCTGCGGCTAGCAGGATGGCCAACTAGGTTAAACAGGCCATCATGCGCATCCTTAGGGAAAATGATGACGACGTGATCTGTCCAGCTTCGGAGGAAGAACTGATGGGGTACATTAGGACCTCCAAACCCAAGCAATGCTCTAGGAATTGATTCAATCAACGACAGGTTGTTGAAGCAGCTCCCGGAGAACTTCATCAGATACCTGCTGGACATTATCAACAGCTCAATCACTCTAAGATACTTCCCTCGAAGATGGATTATAAACCATTCGTCCTCCTGACGAATCTCAGTTGAAAGGGCAAAGGAAAAAATTTACAACCTGATAAAAATGAAGATGACTATCGAAGATGAATTATGATTCAAAATCATTTACACGCTATTCCGAATCAAATAGCAACTCGCTCATATTTTTCGGAGGCGGAGAAAAAAAGTTAGATTTTAAAGGCACTTGCTGACCAGAGTAATCTTGTGTATGAGGTGTTCTGCCAAGCATGTTCTAGAGATAACTCATTCTCCACTCTTCGTGGTTCATATGACTTTAACCGTAACATTTGTTTCGAGCATGTATTTTGGAGTCATATAGGCCAAATACATTTCAGATGTTAGTTTCTTCACACATTCAAAAATTTCTGTTTTGTCCAATCCCTTGTAAATCGGCAAATTTTCCAGCATAAGTTGGCCCGCCCTTGACTCTCCCATCATTATATGTAAAGAAGGAAGATTAGTGAGCGTCTCATTGTTGGTATGGTTTTCATTAAACCAAGTTGGTGTCTTCAGGAAATTAGACTTCACCCCCTGACGAATACACTCACTTTGTTCGTTGAATCGCTCATCGAGAAAAGTGTTATGATGTTTGAGAACAGTGTTTGTTTTCTTATTAATACTGTAACTATTGTAGTCACTTTTAAATCTCATCAATTTTTATTCGAGAACACAAGCTTTCAACAAGCACTTGAAGACATAAATATTCAACTAATTATTTTTAATTTGATTAGGTATAACCTGTAGTTATTTAGATCAGTTTTTCCACTGTATATTGAATCAGTGCCAATCTGTCATTGGATCTTTAACTGTTGGAAGGCCTCATATTTGCCCACTTGGAGAGAGGGGCAAAAAAAAAGACAAATCTCAATAATGAAATGAACAATTCATGAAATGAAAATATTCTGAAGTGCGCTCAGTAATCCCAAAACTTAGAAAGGTGGCCAACTTTTTTTGACATTTTGCTTAAACCAATTTGATGACAAAACTGATATTTAGTGATTTTAGCATTTATTGAATTTTTTTTCTGGAAATTTTCTAAAATGACCCATTAAAAAAAGCCAAGTTTGGAATTTTATACCTCACCACCAATTTTAAACTCTCTGGCGTCATCTAGCATTCTTTCAATTTTTTGTAATTTTTGCTATAGATTTGAACAAAACATGACTCATCTATGTGCAACAAGTTGTCAGAAAATACTTTTGATGACCTATTACCAGAGAAAAATAAATACATCTCCAGAAGTTCTTATCTTCTTAATTCAATCAGAAATTACATAGTTCAGATTTGTTTCATCGAGAAATAATCACATACCTAATTGAATGAACAGTTTTGTTATTTCATTAATAATAATACTATTCATCATTATTTGAATAAATCAATAAATATTGAAAATTGTTTTGAATTTGGTTAGTCATTGACAGTCAAATATCGTTTTTAGATGAGTTGATAAAATACTGGATATGGAGTGTAGACTTTGAAAAACTCTCCAAAACATTAAACAGGTGAAGAGAGTATAATGAAGTTAGTGACAGCAAGTAATTTGCAATAGACTTTAATTTTGAAGAGCAACACAAGTTCTCGGCAAGCCAAGTTTCACTCAGATAAACGATATCTAATTTTCTAAAACTCACTTCGTTGAAGAAGTTTTGATATCAAGTCCACATTCAGTCTTTAATAAGAGATAGGTAGTACCTAAAAATTCACTAATTTTGAAGAGCTGTTTTAGGTTTACGTTCAAAATTGGTTTCACATAAGTTTTTCTTGGTTCCAGTTCTTATTTAAGTTGTTTGAAGAATTGTAGTTGTACCCGTTTTGTAAAAAATGTGTTTACTAAATCAAGTACTTCTTTGGTGTTATTGAGTAATTTTCACTGGACAGTTCTCATTATGGTTTCAGCTGTTAATTTTTCGAAAGTGGAATATTGTTTTGTAACACAATAATTACATCACTGATCAGCTCCTGGATTTCGCTTCCTGCATATTTTCAGTCTTTTCGATTCTATAATTTTGTAACAAATTTGAATTTTTCAAGGCAGAACCCTCAGCTATCTGAGAAATAGAACAACTAAAAATGCTCCATAACAAGTCTAATCCTTGTATTACTTTATTTAGAAATAATACAAGTTTTTATAAACTTTTAAACCCTAAATTAGTTCTCATCTGGTTTGGAGTTTACTTATCATCTGGTTTAGAGAAGACAAGTGTGTATCCACACTTTCCACAGTAATGTCTGTCTTCCATGGCTGCCATGAAGACACCAGCTCCGCATTGTTCAGCAGGACACTCACGCCTCAACCTGTGGATTTTACCATTGTCTTCGACCTACAAATAAAAACAATTGTGAGTACCTCCCTTCAATAGTTAAAAATTAATAAGCACTTACTTTATAAAATTTCAATACAGCCAGCTTGACCTTCTTCTTCTTATGCTTGATTTTTTTTGGGGTGGAGTAATTCTTCTTCTTACGTTTCTTTGCACCTCCCCTCAATCGCAATACAAGGTGAAGAGTAGATTCCTTTTGTATATTGTAGTCCGACAAAGTACGTCCATCTTCCAATTGTTTACCAGCAAAAATTAAACGCTGTTGATCTGGTGGAATTCCCTCCTTGTTTTGAATCTTAGCCTTAACATTTTCGATGGTATCCGAAGGTTCGACCTCAAGAGTGATGGTCTTACCAGTCAAAGTTTTAACAAAGATCTGCATCTTGGGAAGTTAGTTGAAACAACTGAAACAAGGTGATGAATTATACAATGAATTAAATTCAAATTTCAAAATTTTCCACTTGGCAAATATTTGAACTCCAATTGGCAAGTTTTATTTGACAATTACCAAATACAAGATATCTGCATAGTAGGGGTGCAAGTTTTTCAATAGAAATGTTAGGTGTTGCAGGATTCTTATATATAATACCAGAGACGTAACTCGATACAACTGAAGGTGACGAAACCTCAGGTGAGTAATTTTTTATGAACAAAAGATTTTTTTTTGACTTGAACTACTGACATAATGTCACTTCACAACGTGACTGAAATATGAAATTATATTCAAAATGGAAGTTCTTGAGATGAAACATTCTTAGTGCAAAATTAAAATAAGTATCACATAATACGAAATAAAAATTAAAGGTTCCCTTTCCCTTCTTTGTGTATCAAGTTTTGAAATGTGAACTTAGATACTTTACTCATTTTGTAGAAACGTATAAGGCACCTGCTTATTATGAGATCCAATAGAATTTTATCAACTATTGAAGTACAAAATGATGATATCAGATGAAAATGTATATTGAATTGTTATTTGACTGGTGAATTACGCTTATGAAACGCAGGTTCTCACCCTCAAAAACAACTATTCTTAAAACACTTCAGATAAGTTTTGATTCAACTGGGCAACATTGCGTAGATGAAATGTTTTTTGATTTTCTGGAATAGAGAAAAACAGCTTTCATTTCTTAATGTACTGAAAACAGCATTCTCTCATTTCTTGATGTACCTACTGATAACAAAATTCTCAGATCACTTTGTAACAAGTGTTTATAGAAAGAAACACATGAATTAGTATAAAAAAGGCCTCCTTTAAAGATTTTATGAAATAGCAAGCTGATTTCATCCACAAAGTCAAATTTCGAAAACGAAATTGCCTCCTTTGAAAATGACCTAGATAATGATTACCTCAAAATTTTTGCAAATGAGACAAAAAATTAATAAAAGTAAACAATCACAGCTTTTACAACATCCACTTTCTTTAAATGTGAAAATTGGTTCTAAATTTGACATGGAACGGTTTTCAAAACTCAAAATCATTCAAGATCTTCAACTCAAGTCAGTAAACTAGAAACAGAAATAAAAAAAAAAAAAGTTTTTAGTGTTCCATGTATAAGTGGTCAAACACGAACTTCTGAAACCTCTCTAGACCTTTCAAAATTAGTAAATCTGAACACCAAGTCATTCAAAAATTCATATATTTTTGTTTCGAAGTATTTATGTAACAATTTGTAATAAGAGGTGTTACACAAGTTGGATAAATCCCTATCTGACGGGTGTGAAGTTATCCACAAAGTACACTGAGAAAAAAATATCGAATTATTATTTTTTTCATTTACCGACTCTGTATAGCTATCGTTTTTCAATATGATACGCTTATTAACTGATTTAGTGAAAATAGGGTGGAAATATTTAAAAAATTCTCAACATGAAAAAACGAATTTATACACCTACAATATTCACACGTTATTCCTGATGATCTATTTGAAAGAAAAAACTTCATGTCATAGTTTTCCACGTCGTCTGAAGGGTTGAAAATGGGGTGGAACCATTAAAAAATTTCACAACATGAAAAGTTAATTAAAAATATGCAAATAGATACAACATTAAAATAATAAAAAAACCTCGGTGACCTTGTTTATGCCAATCTCCTTGAAAAGTGGACTGAAAATATTTCCATCATACTTTAGATATATTATCAATTCTCTTTTCAACTGGATATAAATGTTCTAATACAAAGAGACATTCTTAAATTCTTTAGAGAGTCTATCAATTCATCTATTGGTCCATTTGAAATGTTAGCGTATTTCTATTGATTAAAACAATCAATAAATTCGAGAACTTACCTCAATATCTAATATTTTTATAAGTATATAAAATTTTTATCAAAAAAATGTAAGAATAAGTATCACTCTTATTAGATACTCTTCAAACGATGAGTTGTAGGTTGTTGAACAATAACAAAATTATTAATTTCATTGTTTATTTATTACGAATTACAAAACATAACTACATGAACTTAAACCAACAATACAGCATTTATGCACCCATCATTTTCTGGATTATTTGTAACTTGGGCATATTTACCCCAAACTACTTTACCAGCCTGAGTCACCAAACCCAATTCTGAAATATTGACTTCAATGACAGTACCTTTTGTAATAACACCTAAACTTGTGAACATTGGTGAGCTAGGATTTTTTTTAACGCCAATTATTGGTAAACAGAACGTAGCTTTTAGTTCAGGATGGGTAACATGTGCTTTTTTGAAACGAAGAGCCATTGGCCGGATGAATCTCTCAAATTTTGGAGGTTTTCTTGTGAAACCTTCACCTACGAATGTGACTTTAGTGACCATCCGTTTCCAAGCTTTCCGTTTAGTTTTTCCTGATTTGATGACCTTCAATACTTCCGCATCAGCTTGTGCACGCACCTTAGGAATAGGGACATCCCATTTTCCGGCCTTTTCTTTTCGTTTCTGTTTTATCATATTTGACAAGACTTTAGCTCTAGACTGAACTTCACGGTCTAGAAGGTAAACAGGAAGAGCACCCTCAGATACCTTTTCGGAGGTTTTTTTAATCTTTTTCTCTTCATGAGCTTTAATTTTTTTCTTCATTTGAATCTTTTCATTACGACGTTCCTTGTTGAATATTTTAGCCTTGATACCTCGAAGACTCCTAGCCACCTGGGACCTCTTGTGAGGCTCACGAGCCTCACGCTTCCTCTTTCGTTCTTCATAGTCAAGACGGCGTCCATGAAGTTTACGGTGACGTTCAATGTACTCGTTTTGTGGCATGGTAGTTTTTAATGCGAACTAGAACAAAATAATAAAAACGTTTTTACTTTTCCTTGTGTATAATCATATTCAAGGTATATACTGAATACTCTTTGAATATGACTATACTATGCCAAAAAAATATATAAACTTATATATTTTGAACTTACCTCAGAGGTGCATGCGACTGACTTATAGTCATATTCATAGAGAATCACTAATCACTAAACATATCGGGGAAAAATTTTGCGTCGAGATGTTTTGAAAAACCATGTGTTCATATTACTTCCGACATAGTAATGTACAAAACCGCAATGGAACACAATTAGTAACTCAAATTGTATGTAGTTTGTTATTCGTCGACGAAAAAAAATCGTGAAATATTCACTAGATAATAAAATTTATAATTTCTCACTTACCTTCTACTCCACCATTACACGCTGCTCATAAAAAGAAACTTTTTGACAGTGGATATGACGAAAAGACGATTCTTACCAAGTTTCCGCCCCACTCTAGATACCAACATAAATTTTAATAACTATGTGGATATTGGCAGCAATGAATGTATTCGATTTTCGCTTGATTCTCGCAGCTCGTCATCCAATGTTCGAATCATAAGCGAAATGTCGGACAAAAATGAAAAAATCAACGATTCACATGATTCACATGAGTACGAAGGTTCGTCACATGGTAATTTTGAGAAAAATATGTAATTACTATAAATTTTTTCTTGATTATATCACTGCTGTGTAAACACGACGGGCGATTTACCACCATATCGTAGAAGTGGTGTGCAAACATGCTAAATTATGATATATAATAATATACTACAATATCAAACCAGCTTGCGTATGTTGTGTGAACGAAAAATCCTACCTAGTTTTTTCTGTCACGCTGATTTATGTACTCTGTTTTAGTTGGAAGTGATCTTTATTTGGAAGAATAAACTGTTATATGATTAAAAAAAGAAACTTTCGGATTATAGAATAATGGAACTGTGGGAATCCAGTCACATAATTTTTTTGATGGGAGGATCGTTAGACGTGGATTTCTCTTCGATGTTTATATTTTTTATGTAGTACCTTCTAGATTCAGTTATGAGTGAGATGCCATATAATGCAGTGACCGGTTTTCGGCTTGAGTTCAAACACACTTACGACAAAAAAAAATTCTCGAAATAATTTGTCTAGTTTATCATGCTGTGATGATATCTAGGTGACACAGAAAGGTATTAACAAAATGAACACAAAATATAAAGATAATAAAAATAATCGATGATACTTTGGCTCTTTGACAGCGAAAAAAGAAAATTTTTGCACTAGGAAATATCTTTTTCTTAATTCCAAAAAAACTACTTGTCATTTTTTTTCTATCGATTATTGACATTTTGTTCCAAAAGCAACAGAAAATAATGGATTTTTCAGGAAACCGCTGTCAAATGACTGTCAAATGTTCTAGTTAGTAGCGGTTGAGAAGTTATAATTTTTGAACGCAAAGTTAAAATTGTGCTGATGCACTTGCGAAGTTATTCTGCCAATTTTAAAGTTTTGTGAAACCCGTTATTTAGACTTAGTAGTTTGGAAGACATAAATATATCCCATTGAAGTTTATACTACAGTTCATAATCACGTTTGTCGTTTTATATATATTTTGTCGGAGTTAGCTACCCTGTGTATTTGTCATTAGTATTATGATAATTGTTCTCTGAATGGAAAGTCCATACAATAGAAACAATCAATAAAACTTCAAAACAATATACAATTCAAACAAAAACTGAGAAAAATGACAAATACAAAGAGTAGCCAATCCATAAAAAATACATGTGCTTTAAAAATCATTATTGGTGAGGACGACAATAAAAACAACTTTCAAAGAGCAAATTCATCTAATGACAAATGCACAGAATAGCTAACAAGAAAAAATGAATGTAGGTACTCCAAATAAGGTTCATTCCTCTCGTCAGTCAATGGTTTGAAAGTGTTTTTATCAACAGGTCTATTTGGAGTTGCATTAGCATTCTCTTTCTTGGGTCGTAAATGGCAATAAACGATATACAACCTTAATCGGGAGTATACAACTGACACTAATGACAAATACACAGAGTAGACAACTCAGAAAAAATAAATGTGCCGCATACAAAATTCTCATTGATATATACGATAGAATGAATACGATGAGAACAACTTCCAAACAGCAAATAAAACTGAAAAATGAACTATACAAACATCATCTACAAATGACAGTTGACACTAATGACAAATACACAGTAAGTAAATGTGCTGCAAATGAAATCCTTTTCGGATTTGGTTTATTGCTCGTTCGAAATCACCTTCGCTATACCATGGAAATACGGTAAACCTGTGGTATGGGACTTTACTTGCGTTGAAACGGTCGGGCCTTCCCACTTCCCATCTAGCCGAAAGTTCGAAGTCTACTGGAATACTGGAACTGCAGCATTGTCCAGCGAACAATTAAAACGAAAAAAATACCAAAATCTTGGGAACAACTATCTGTTCCATCCAGTAGCGGTTGAAACTTTTGGTATTTATGGACCGGAGTCTCTGTTATTGTTGTAGAATGAAGATTGTTTCTTTATGATGGATTAGCCCACTGTATATAACTATTTTGTAGTTGTTATTTAAAAACATTCGAGTTTGTTAACTTGTCAAAATATACGTTCCGAAAAATCATCAAGTATATTTAATTATATTCAATCTTAATTGTATCAGTTATTCGTTCATGAACTCGGAAGGAGAATAGGCCAAGCAACGAAAGATTACCGTTCTACTTCTTTTTTGATAGAAATAATTAGTATTGCTATTCAACGTGGTGATACTGCTTTGGTCCTTGGAACTATTCCTCCTTCACATAATTTTGATGAGATGATGCTTTGACCTCATTTCAGTACGGAACTAAAATCTCTTCGAAACAAGCCAAGATATGTGTATATTCATCAATGATTATGGACATATAGTCGTCGGAACCTTTCTACTAGTAAAACTGAAAACCATAAATGAGAATACTCTAACTGAACAATGATGTCCATTGTCGTACTGACATTTTTTGACGTTTTTTTAAACCAAAAACAACTTAACAAACTTTATCGGGTTGTTGGAATTGCCAAATGGCAGATAAAAATGAATATTTCTAGATATATCGATATTNTATATAAAGTCATGGTTCATTTTGTCAACCCATTTTTCATTAGTTTGTTATACAGATTGCAAGGTGAAGGACGATTTCGACATTTTACATGATCTTGTCGAGACTTACTTCCTCGAAAATTTGGGAGAAAAGTACTCTTCAACTTCACATTTTCTGTGATTTTTCTGAGAATGCCTACGCTACTGTAGATTACGTTCGTTGGGAACAAAACAAAAATCTGTTTTTCCGTTAAAGAAGCAAATGACACAATGAACTGAATCCTCTCAAAATAGATGATATTGTTCTCATCTATGAACCTAACGCACCTCAGAACTGTTGGCTCAAAGGAAAAATAGTACATCTTTATCCAGCAAAGGATGGAAAAATACTTGTTGCCGACGTTATGACAGCCAAGAAAATAATTTTCCGAAGACCAGTCTCCAGATTATGTGTGTTGCCAGCACACGACGATTAGTTTAAAATCATTACATTCTGTATAATTATATTTGATGTTTTGTAAATTTTTGATATGTATAAGTAAGCTGTGACGTTGAAAAAATAGGTAAGAGTTTGACAGACAAAAATTTTGGATTTTAATTTGGTTCTTTGAGACTGGATATTTCCAATAACACATAATTTACAGGTAAAGTCAAAACACTCACCCCATTGTATTGAAAAAAGTTACCAAGTTTATTGAAATGTAAATAAAACAGGTGTGCTTGTTTTATTCTGACACTTCTTTAAAAATTGTATTTGAACAGTTGTGTAATATTACAGAAATGTAAAACAAAAAAGAATATTTATTTGCAATAAATAAGTTATATTAGATAACAAAATTTATCAAAAACTGTTTCATACTTCACATCAGGGAAAGAACTATAGCTGAAGTTAACGCCAATGACAGCATTATATATCCTGTGACATATACTTCTCTAATACTAAGAAACCTTCCAGTATCCCAAAGAAGATGACGAATACCATTCCAGAAATGGTAAGTTAAGGGAAAAGCAAGTAAAAATTTTAGAGCTGCAATAGCTGTTTCACCTAATTCCATACATTCTAAGTTGTCAATGTAACATGGGATAGATTCCGGAAGTACTACAGCACCTAGTCCCAAAGCTATTGCATATCCCGACAAAGCCATTCCTGTAAAAGGTATTGATATTTATCATAAATAGTGATTATATTTACATCCTTCACCTGTGAATCTGTGAGTAATTGACAACAAGGAGGTCAGTTGAAGTGAATATATTGTCAAATGTGGGGACTGTGGTCTCCCTAATTTCATATTGCGTTCATCGTGACCTTCTTCTTTCACGACATCTGCAGCCTTGGCTTTAAGAGTGACTGGTCTTATAAAAGGCATCAAACAGTTTTTGTCATGTTTTAAAAATTGGTTTGTACATCTTTTGCCTGCTAACCTAAAATCATTACATAATGTGGAAACTGAGCATAGTACAAGACAAGCACAATATAATATCAATAACTAAGTATTAAAAGAAAGTGTTCATTTGAGTTACCTGAATATCAATGACATTTTAAATTAATTTTTCCTGCAAGACGAAATTTATTGACAGCTCAATAAAAATCTTGAAATAACAGCAAACCAACAATCAAGCATAGGCATGCAAAATTATTAAATTCAAGATATCAACAGAATCACGAAACGACAGAACACTTTAGATTTCAATATTGACATTCAACCAACGATGTCTATAGATATTCCATGCGTTCCACTAAGCGTTCACAACGATCAAAATGCTGCTATAGCTGTTTCACACAACGACAGAGGTCGTTGTGGTTGCCTCGAAAACGTTTCTAATGACGTCATTACTTTCGCTCACGGCAAGCTGACAACGTCACAACGACCCATCTGAAGAGGTGGGTCGACGTGGACGTTGAGAATAATTCGACGCAATTTTTGAAATATGACAAATATTATCTTTAATTCGTAATTCATTTCCAATTTCTTACCTCATTCCATTATTCAATCTCATAAGTAATCAATGGAATAATCAAGTAAATTTTAGAGTAACATAAAAGAGTATAATCTGAGTGTCCAATTAGACATGACATTTTCAAAATTTACTGAGCAATATGTGATAGAATATCATTTACCTGAAATGACTTGAATTTATTTGAATAACAATACATTCTCATAATAACTAATTCATGGCCTAAGGTTTCAATTTCCACAATCATAATTTTGGGAAGTTGCATTATTGAAGAAAATAAAGTTAAATGAATCATTTGACATATTAGCTATACACTTTGGCTATACACAGAGCACTATAAGTAGAATATTTTTGAAAACAGTAATTGTTCTAGCAGAAAAAATGAGGGAGTTAATTGTGTGGCCGAAACCATCTGACATAGTTAAAAATTTACCTATCGCTTTTAGAGCATGGTATTCTAAAGTTGTTTCAATTATAGATTGCTTAGAAATAGAAAAACCGTCTAATGCAATCCACCAGTCTCTGTCATGGTCACAATATAAGAAATGTAATACTCTGAAATACCTAATTTCTTGTACTCCAGATGGGTTAATCAATTTTATTTTAGAAGGATATGGTGGAAGGGCTTCTGACATTATTATAGTAGAAAATTGTGGGTATCTAGAATGTTTACCTACACAGCCATTATGGCAGACAGAGGCTTCAAAGACTTGTCTCATTTGATAGAAAATAAAAAATGTACCCTTATTCGGCCTACTTCAGTGATCAAGTCTACAGCAAGTACAAAACATGAGGTGAAGCAGTCCAAAAGAATAGTAGCATTAAGAATTCATGTAGAGCGTGTAATAAACAGGTTGAGAGAATTTCATATGTTGTTGCCTCACGGATGTGTACATTACAGCTTAGTTCCGATAGAAGATGAAGTAATAGTAATAAAAAAATAAATAAAATTTTCAAGTGTTTTATTTTTATTCATATTGGTGTGGCACACTCAGAAGGTACCTTATTTTCAATGTAAAAACTCCAAATAGAATGAATATAGGTTACAAGTAACTTGGCTGACAACTAAAATTTCAACTTGCTCCTCATACTATGATTTATTTGATATTTTTACATATAATAGGAAAAATAGCATTACTCCAGAAGAGCATGCTTTTTTCCAAAATATTTGCACAATAGTTCTCATTATAATTTACAATATAAATGTCTACTTCCTTTGATGTTTCAAAATCATGATGTGCATCACAGAAAAGCCCTTTTTTTATTTGAAAAATACATCTGCATTTGGACCTGAGCCATATATTTTGAGGATATAACATTTTTTGGAAACATATCTACTCATGGCTTTCTCAGATGATGGACATTTGATTTCAATACTGTAATCAATACTTTCACCATCAGGAGATGCACCAAATACGGGATAATTAGGGTTTAAGATCAAACCACACCCATTAATTTTTAGTTTTTTTTTTTCGACTTCTTTCAATACTTTTTTCTCTAGCAAACGCCTTCTTTTCATCGCCTCTGTGTCCTTTAATTTAATTGCTTTCATTATACTTTCACATAAAGTGCCTTCGAAAACTTTGCAGTGTGCTGGTTCATGCATCTTCGAAGTGATAATCCTAGCATACCGTAGCTCATGCCACAGTGGACAGTCATTCGGATCAATTGTAGCTAGATTAGCTTCATTGCAAGATAATGTGTCCATCATACTCCTTCAATAGTTGATGAACTCTGTGGCGTTAGCCGGTTTATTTGGTAGAGTACTTACTAAATGATGAATGGATAATTTTTCTACTCTGCTTTTTTCCTTGTAGTATTTCATGAGTTGACTTTCCATGTGACCGATGCTTTTGCTATAGTTTATTAGAGTTGGCAGAAGGCTTCGAGTATTGGCAGATGGAGCAGGTTTGGCTTTTGAACTACTACCTAACTCTTTAGCTCTTATATACTTTAGGGTTGTGCCTATCGTGGATAATTTGGACTTCTTCCAGTAACAGTCGATACTAGTAGAGGGAGGGTCTTCNCCTATTGCCGTGAAAGACATTTTGATTACATTCAAACTCAATTTGTTCAACAACTTCACTGAAATTATATATAAAAAATCAATTTATACTTTCTTTAAAATAAATAAATTAGCTTGCAATTATTTAAACTTATTGTTAAGGCTTACGTAACCTCATTAAAATTTCTACTTCATTTTTTCAACCTTGCCATTTGTAATGTTTACAGGAACGCTCAAAACGCTCCATTTCACTTCAGTTTATGACAGGAACGGGAAAAACTGCGGTCGTGAGCGCTTAGTTCCTAGTGGAAGGCACTCATTATATGATGAAGATGAAGCATTTTTCTCTTGTTCTTACTGTTTCTGAAAAATAAACAAAGCTAAATCAATAATCTGCTGAGAAGTTATTCCCGAAAAGATACTGCGTAATATAAAATACTGATAAAAGTCCAATCAGTCAATAACTGCCATATAATAAGTTCGGCATACAAATTGAATAATCAATGGGAAAAACTAAATTTCTATACTTAGCTTTCTTAAGACGGTTAACGTTTTGGAAAAATACCGTAGGCGAATATCAATTTTTGCAAAAGTGAACATATTCCACACTAAGGATGTATTACTTTTGTAATGGCGATCGTTAGATTTTCATAACTCGCCTGCTATTCTTCCCAAATATATCCTTGAGGGTAGTAATAAGGCCTAGATCCTTTCTTGGCTTGAAAGTGAAGTCTATTTTGAATAAGACAAGGAAGTTAATATAAAGAACAACTTTTGATTGTCATATTGGCAGGAATTCGGTCGAAATGTTGAAGAAAACCAATTGCTAAATTGTCGACGTTTCGAAACTTTATTTTTTCATCTTCGGGACTTTGAAGTATAAGAAGAACACATACATATTAAAATGGGATTCTAGAATGTAGCTTCATTAAAAACAAAATTAATTATGCAAAATAACAACCATTAAAAAATTAAACGCTTCGAACACTTTACAGAAAACAACGTAGATGAGTACTTATATTTAGGGCGGCTTTCCGAGTTCAAAAAAAGAGAAGTAAATTAATTTGACAAAAAATATAAATACACACATAGGTTCACGAAAATTGACACAAAGAAAAAAGATTATAATTTTTAATACAATAAAACTGGTATATGTATAAATAAGGCACAGATTTAAAAATCACAAATAATAATACAAAAAATATAATGTCAAATAATGTAAACAAGATTATTTACACAGCCTTCATCATAATATTCAGAAATTAGAGGGTAGTTATACATAAATGCACAAAATTTGGAAACATTTCAAATCTTGTTCATACGTTTTACAAAACAATGTTCAAAATATTTGTTGTGCCACTATAAAAAAAGACAATCGAAACATTTAAAGGAAACTACCCTTATTAATGTCATATATTTTGAAAGTAACAAGAGAAGTGATAAAGTGATGAGATTCCACCATTTTTTAATTTTCCAAATTCTTTGATATATCAAAAATACTTATATGGTCATAATGCAAAATGAAGCTTCATCGACAGCTCAACATTCCAATAGATTTGGCAATCATTGGATCCCAAAACTTTATCTGCTTATTTTCCAAAGATAGAAATTGAAAGCACCTTGAAGGCCAAACAGTAACATAAAATACATCAGACTCTCAGTTAATTTTTTAAAAATATAATAGGCTATCTTACACATTTTAAATTATCACTTTAGATTCGATAGAAATTTCTAATCGTACCACTTTGATGATATATATTTCGAACTTATATGGTTATGAAATGAAGAAAACATATAAAAAAATAATTCAATAATTATATATGCATGGATTAATATGATAGAACTGACCGATATTTGAAGAAAATCCATTATAACGTAATAAAAAAAACACTTTAATGTGAGATTTCTACTTTTCAAGTGGAAATATCACATTATGCATGGATTATGTAAAATTATTATGTATGACTGTAAAGTGGTAAATATGAACAAAGATTACTTATTTTAGAATACCAAAGTGTAATTTCATCAGTGAAGTTAGATAATGTCTTCGTAAATTGAAAAATATAATAATTTTGACATACAAGGACATTGATTATAGAAGTTGGGAAATACCTAACCTAACACAAAATGTTTTCACATTAAAAACAATTAGAGTTGGAGAAAACACAAGTCAAAGTCATTAAAACTTTTGTCAATTTCAACAAATTTTTATATTCCTTCCTTCATTCATTTATACACTGTACACAGTAAAAATCTTTTAATTACGATGTATTCACAATTTTTTACTTAAACTAAAATATAAACAATACTGAAAATATGAGATGAATAACGATTTGAATTCCTGAAGTTGCCTTTCCAACTAAGAACCAATATTAGGATCATTATGTATTTTTCTCTGGAGTAAATGAGAAAGGTTAACTTTTCTTTGTTACTGTGAATGCGGTAAAACTGTTTTAAGTGGATAAACAAATCTATGAATTCAATAATTTATTGATCCTAAAACAAGGCTTTTAGTTGAGAAATAACAACTTTTTTCAACCTAATACTAAATAAATACTAATTCAGTGGACAACACCTCCGTTTAGAAAAAAATACTTCAAAATTAACCTTTTACAAAAGTAAAAATGATTAATGTTTCGGTAAATGACACAGTAAATTTAACTTTGAAATTAGTCATTTGATTTAATAACTGATATTAAATAAAACATGCACCAGTCTTTCTCAGAAACTTTCGGGCAACGAAAATAAATAGATATATAATATTCCTTTCATGCTAAAGGTTTTAATATTAATTTTCAACAACATTCACCTTCTAGTGTTAATTTGAATTTTTTTCAATGCTCTTTCCATTTCACTCTGAATATTTTAACAATTGGCACATTGAAATTATCTTGACGTTATCAATTAATATGGCCTAGTCTCTTCATATTTAACATAAAAACATTAACAAAACTACCTGACAAAATGAATTTTTTTCATTCATCTTTCAGTATAAATAGTAGAGCACTGATAACCCACCAATTTTGTATTCTTCATCTATATATTTCCGGACACATTAACTGAATAACTGAAAAATATAAATCCCGTTTTCTATTAATGGGATGTCTAGTTCCATAAAATAGAGAGATAATTCGAACAGGTTTCAACCTACATGAATTCAAATGAGCCTTGTTTGTTTCAAATAGTGGATAAGAAGGGAGTATACAAATCTGTACTGGGCAATGGTCTGTATCATGTAGGCACGTTGATGTCTGAGAAGACCAACTACTCTTGGTATACACACCTCCTGAAAAATAGAAATATACATTTGTTGAATATGGTTCAATACCTGAATTTTTTGTACACACGTCTTTCTCTCAAACGCGAATTTTACTATACTCATGAAGTGTTACTTTTAGAACAAAACATTTGAAAACACATGAAAGATCAAAACTTTTAAATTAGTTCAATAAACTCACAGGAAAAGTTCTTTATGACCATGACAAAAATTCAGCTTTGTACTTTTCATTCAGAGTGAAAAACATTAATTCCTCTTATTAGTAAGGTTATTTCAACCAAAGGAAAACATGGAAAATATATAACCACACCCAGGAAGCCATTTTAAAATTTTACTAGGGTTGATATTCTGTATATGTTTGATTTACCAAAGTATAATAATATTTCACAAATGTGTGATATATTAGTGGAGTTGCTGCCAAACAGCTAACTTTTACCGGGTTATTTCCTTTTTTGGTTCATATAAAAAAATTAAATTATTGAACTAGTAAATAACTATAACGTAGTTCGGTGCGATAGCAAAAGTCGACGAACTGGTGGAGTATTAATATATGTTCGAGTCGGAATAGTTTATAGAGTTATCAAACCTGAAATTGTGGATGGGAACTTTTGAATACAGTTTATAAGTGTAAAGATAAAGTCACAAAAGTGGCACATCGGTGGTATCTACCATTCTCCAAGCTCAAATCATTGAACATTTTTAGATACATTAGAGGACACTCTGGAGACATACTTTATAGGAAAAAAATGTCTGATGATTGGCGACTTCAATATGGACTATGAGGATGATGATTATTTCTATACCAAAAAGGTCAAACATTTATTTAATATGTATGGAGTAGATCAAATTGTAAATACAAAGACAAGGTGTATGCAGCATAGCTCTCTTATAGATTATGTTGTAACAAATATTGATTCTAATCGAGCAATTGTTCAAGGTAATCCAAAACTAACTGACCACTCTATCTTATCTGTAAATTTCTGTAATGCAAATATCACGTTAGGGGAAACATTCAAACAAATTAGAAAAATGAACGTAGATACCTATCATAACATAAACATTGAGCTATTGTCCTGAAACTGGAATTTGAATTCGGTTAACGTTGATGTGATATTGGAGAATATAACAAAAAACCATCTAGATATTGTTGATCAGGTAGCACCAGAACATACTGTTAAAATAAAATCAAATCAAGTCCCACACTATGATAGTGAATTGAAAATCAAAGCAAAGGAAAGAGATTTAGCTTATAAGAAATTCAAACAAATAAGAGAGTGAGAAATGACTATGTGAAAATGTTAAAAGTAAAGAAAGAGCGTTATTATGAACAGAAAATTGATGAAAATAAACATAATGCAAAAGAAATGTGGAAATATTTAAAATCACTTATAAATCCAATTGAAAGCTATAATTTTGAAAAGATAGTATTCAATGACGGTGATTAAATAAAAGTTTGTAGCACAGAAATTGATATTGCAAATGCATTCAATGAATATTTTATCAATAGTATAGGTGAAATTGTAAACAATATAACTTCTGAGTCAGACTGGAGTTCAAACAGTTTCGACATAGTAAATTGTAAATTAAATTCTTTTAAACAGATAGAGTTGCCGCAGTTGAAAAATATAATATTTTCAATAAATAAAATTAATAGATTTGAGATAATGAACAGTCTATTTCTAAAAGAGACATTCAACACCTTGGGGCATGTTATACTGAACTTTATTAATACGTCTCTTCAAACAGGACAATTTCCCCAATACTTCAAAATAAGCACAGTAATACCAATACCAAAAATAAATAATACTTATGAAGCATGTTATTTTCACCCTATCAATACTCTTCCAACCCTTGAAGAAGTATTGGAATTAGCAGTATATGAGGAACTCAACAAATACTTTGATGAACACAGGTTACTTTTAGGTTGTCAGTCAGGCTTCAGAAAAAAACATTTATGTGAGGCTGCCTTACAGTTCACAATAACAAATTGGAAAGAAAAAATTGATAAAGATAATTATGTTGTTTGTACATTCTTGGATTTGAAGAGGGCATTCGAAACAGTAGACAGAGATATATTAATCCAAAAGCTCAAATATTATGGTATTGGTGATGTAGTTTTGAAGTGGATGAAAAGTTACCTCAGTTCGCGGAGTCAAATAACAAAAATTAATAGGTGCTACTCACAAGAGTTAGTGAATGATTTTGGAGGTAGTGTATTACGACCTTTACTATTTCTGATTTATATAAACGATATCAATTGGGTAGATGGTGATCATGTGATTAACTTATTTGCAGATGATACATTAATATATACCTACGATAAAACCTTGCAAGTCGCTATTGAAAAGATGAATAATTCATTGAAAAATATTGAGTTGTACCTTGGAAAAAATACCATCTTGTACTTAAAAAGTAGAAATGAAAATGTCGTTATTATTTGTCGAATTTCAGTTTTTTTCTAATATCTCCGTAACGAATCTAAATTTCATATAAATTCATATAATAATAATTAGCTTTAAAATGAACATTTTTTTCCTAATCAAACCGACTATGGCCCTCCTTATCTTGCACACATTGTATACACATACAGTAGAAGATAATTCAATGTTTTAAACAGGTTTATTACTAACTTGGTTATGGTCGACGGTGTAGAGAAGTAAATCACTCAATATAGTAAGTCCGGTCCTACCGACGCCGGCGGTGCAGTGCACAAGAATAGGGGGATTTCTATTATGGCCTGGAGGGATCTCGCCCACCGAATGCTGGTGAACAGACTGCATTTCTTCGAGGAAGCCTAGGAAGTGTGATATAGAATTTGGACATCCTTGATCTCCCCAATCAGTGTAATGAAGATGCCAAATTGTCCGGTACCTTCGAGAACTTACATGACATAATCTCACTTTGCTGGTGACACAATGACCAGTTTTTTGAGAAAACTCCCACCAGATCTGGTAATCCTGCAGTTCACATTCATAATTAACATTTATCCAATAATACCATCATCATTCAATATTTATAACAATTCAGTTATCCAAAACAAGCACTTTTACCAATCACCTCCTGAAGATGCCAACTTTGTTGGTGAAACGCGCGTCAAGAAGAGTATTGCATTTCTGGTGATTGGGAAAAGCGCTAATTCAGGACACTATAGTTTTAATAATTAATTTGATATCTTTACCTGGTCTATATTAATACATCTTTCATCAGCATCAGGAAGGTATGTCAGATCTTCAGTAGGATCAGTGAGCTGCACCATAAGATGAACCTCAGCTTCCCAAACACACTGCCAGAAGTATGGTAACGTATGCCTTGTTGGCCCTTGAGCTGCTATATAAAACCTTTGCTTACTGCCAACAGTTGCCTTAGTGAAGACATACATATTTATTACTTGTGTAAGATATTTGTTCATTACAGGTATATTATCATTACAGATTTCTCATAAACCTTGAATATCAATGGGAAAAAATGAATGTCTGCATTAAAATGGATTCACAACCTTACTGTAAACAAATAAATCATCAGTGTAATAAAATATAAAGGGGGAAAGTCGCAGAAAGGTGTTTCGCAGTGATAGCAAAACATGTGATATATTTCTTGAAAATAAATTTTATGATGATCGGATCGTAAGGTGTAGTTTATGAAAGAAGCTAAACATTTTGTTTTTCAACTTAATACTTATTGAATAAAGCACTAACACCTTGTGTGCATATGATGGTTGCTTCATCAATCGTTTCCCAAATGTGTCTCAACTAATATAGTGACTCAATAGATAGAAAAGAGATTTCTGGTAAAGTTATCAGAACAAACAACATACTTTTGCAAGTCACCTACGGGTTTCTATTGGGAGTATTTTTTGAGATCTTCAATCACAGTAGATTAGTACAGTAATTAACTATCCATCTAAAGATCTCCTAATTGTGTGTTCAAATGAAATACGAAAAAGATGTTTTATTTTCAACAATTTATCTAGTTTATTTCAGTTCGATTCTGATCATAAATGAAATGGTACGTTTTCCAAAAAGTAAAAATAAAGAGGGATAGGAACTGTATTACCATTCATTCAAGTAACACTTTGTGAGATCTTCAATGGACAATTCATGAAACCCCAACACATGTTCAGCTATACAATAGTTTCCTCAAGTGTTTTCATAGTCATGTATCACATTTCTAGGGAATTCTACCATGTGCGTGTTTCTCAATAAATCGCCAATATGAATGGTTGGCATTTTTGGAAGAATAAAGATTGGAAATCATTCACTATTGCTAGACCGTTATATTTATATAAACATGTGAATTTCAATAAGTTAGTTCACACAAAATAATTTTATGGAACTGAAAGTGATTCAAATTTATTAAAGATTCATTTAAGACAGAGACAAAACTTAACTACTCAAATCACAACATTGAAATTTGCATAAAACATTATATTTTGCAGCTACATTTCTACATAACTAGTTTATTTAGATTTGTTTTCCTGTTAGGGCTATTAGACAGTTTTATCTTAACATTTGGTGGTTTCCAGCATAGTTTGAGATTTAGCTACCACTCAGATTATTTAGGAGACCACTTCAATACTTATCAAGATATTGCTGGTGTTATTCCAATGAATATGTCCCAGACTAAACTTGTGTGAGTGGTAAGTGAAAAAATCATGGAAATTTGTTTCATCCCCATTAAATATCTATCTCCCTAGTTTATACAAAAAGAAGTCATTAATTTTGACAGGTAGGAAAAATCCACTTATAATTATTGACTAAGGTTCATTTTCGATTCAGCATGAAACAGAAAGAGCTGTTCGATTATTTTGTCACAAACAAATAATCAAGTGGTGCCTAATGAAAAACTAAAAATATAAAGAACGAGTTTCAAAGTCTTGATATATTTCACCATCAGTTTTCAATTTTAAGTAGCAATTAGTAATATTTCAAAACCTATCCGGTTTCAATAATTGAAAAAAGCACTTGATTTGTTTGAAGGTGGTTGACAATGTTTCATAGTGTATTTCATTAGTTCAGACTTCTATTGTCTAATATGATATAAATTGATTTGAAATCCCTGAAAGAATCTGTAAAAAATTTAAAAGGTTAGCAAGTTAATATAACAATTATATTAAGCAAAAAACTGAAATTAAAATGATATAAAATACAAGCAACAACCAAAAAATCAAAAAAATTGAACTATTAACACGAGATGAAAATTAAAAAATTATCAACAAGAAATGAAAATTAAAAGATTCTAAACCAAGTTGCTTCACGACATTTCGATTGTTAGTATCCACAATCGTCTTCGGGTGATAACTGGACTTATTTACCGACCAAGCGTCTTCATTTCAATCAGGATGGAGCCCAGCTCCCTTACCCTGTTAGCTGATTTTTGTCGAAAAAGGACAAATGGTTCTGGACTTATTTCTCAGAGATCTGACTATTTATAGGTCATTCGAGTGCTTTCACCTATCCCCTCTTCCCTGTCTCCCCTTCATCGGTTTTAGCGGAAGCTGACCGTTTGGCGGGAGTTGGTCGTGTTCCGCTTGATTGAGGTTTCCATGTGTTGCGTATCTCTATGCTAGCTTGGCTAAATGCGTTGTTTGACAACATATATGCGGCTTCTTTGAATTTTCTCCTAAACCAGTGTTCCTCCTTGTGAATGATTTCAGCTTGAGCTGGTCATGTTGATGATTTCAAACATGCTCTGCTATTCCTGATTTGCTGGTTTCTCCTCGCTGTGTGTGTTTCTTCCGCTCGGCAATGCGAACTTTCGATGGCTTGGTAGTTTCACCGATGTATGATTCTCCGCGCTCGCAGCGTATCCAGTAAATACAATTCTTGGAATCGCAGTCCGCCTTTGGTGGCCTCGTTTTCGTGAGGCTGCTATGGATAGTGTTCCCAGATCTGAAACAGGTTCTGAAGTTATACTTGGGCCCAATTCTTCTTATCCTTTCCGACAATCCCCTGATGTAGGGAAGTACAAGGACTGGTTGTGGCGGTTTCTCTTCCTTGTAGAGCTCTTGCTGTCTTCTAGCTAAAGCCCGTTTCACCATCACTTTAGAGTAACCATCAATTTCACAATGGAGAAGGAAGTCCACAATGAATTGCCATTCTTAGAAGTATTGGTGAAGAGGACCGACACTAAATGGGAAACCTCTGTATATCGAAAACCCACTCACATAAGACAGTATCTGAACCAGGAATCCAACCACCATCAATCGACTAAGAGAGGAATTATCAAGACTCTACACACACAGCGAGAAGAAACCAGAAAATCAGGAATAGCAGAGCATGTTTGGACTCATCAACATAACATCAAGTGGGCCCAAGCTGAAATCATTCACAAGGAGGAACACTGGTTTAGGAGAAAAATTCAAAGAAGCCGCATACATGTTATCCAACAACGCATTTAGCCAAGCTAGCTTAGAGATACGCAACATATGGAAATCTCTAATCAAGCAGAACACGACCAACTCCCGCCAAACGGTCAGTTTCCGCTAAAACCGATGAAGCGGAGAGAGGGAAGAGGGGATAGGTGAAAGCACTTGAATGACCTATAAAAATTCAGATCTCTGAGAAATAAGTCCAGTTATCACCCGAAGAAGATTGTGGATACTTACAATCAAAACGTAGTGAAGTAACTTGGTTTGGAATCCTTTAATTTTTAATTTTCATTTCTTGTTAATAATTTTTTAATTTTTTTTTGGGGTATATCGCTGCTTTTTGTCAAGCAGGAAAAGTGGATACAAGGTGGTTTATTCAATGGAATAGCGAACTGACCTGTTAGTTGAAAGGAAAAGTTCATCCATTGAATGTATTCAAGAGCAAGGATCACGGATGAGTACCTCGTAAAGGAAATTTCTTTTTTTCATTCTTCGATTCTTTCACTTATTTTTATTATTACGAAAGCAATAACAAAGGCTTCAAAAACCACTTGGCGCCCAAATGGACCATTTTTTCCATATTATTAATGAGGTGATTTATCTCACACCATTGAGTGAAATTCTTCATTACTAGTTGTATATCATTCATCAAGTCAAATGTATCATTAGCAGTTGATATAATTGTTGAATCACCTGCATACTTGGTTAACCCTGTAAATGGTTTTCAACTGTTCGGTAATGAAGGCTATTATTATTATTGTCAGATGTTACAAATTCTACTTATCGAATTAAAATCGTCAACAATAGACTGCAGAGCTTTCTGAAAACTCTTATAACCTTTTGACAAGGCCTTGGTCGCATCGGCTCGTGCACACCAACCTTGTGTCAGACACTTTTTTTGGAACTAAACACGACGAATCGTACGAAGACTGAGAATCCGAATCCGAAGACTGTACGAATCCGAAGACTGTACGAATCCGAAGACTGAGATTGCTCCAACGCAGCTCTCCGCAGCACGTACTCCAACCAAATTCAACGAGTGCGCTGCACATGGGACGTAGTGTGCGAGGGGATTTATTTTTCTAATATGTGCCTGTAGACCATTGTAACAGCCAGACATATTTGTTGCATTGTCGTAAGACTGACCTCTTGTATTTTTTATATCAATATTATTTTGATATAAAAAAATTAAAACTGTATTAGCTAGTTCTTCCCCTTTGTGACTTGCAATAGAAATAAATGAAAGAAAACGTTCTGCTACTTCTCCATTTGATGCAACGTATCTCAGAATCACAGTCAACTGATGTGTATGGGATATATCAGGCATTGAGTCGACGCTCAGTGAAAAATATTTTGCCATTATAATTTCATCTATAATATGTTTTAAAACCTTGCTCCCCAATATTTCAATAAGTTCCTCGCAAATCGTAGAAGACAAATACGATTGTCTTCCTTTTCCGACATTACCATATTTGGCCAAATGAGAACTAAGGAAAGGATCATACTCCGCGAGTAATTCTAAAATACCCAAATAATTGCCATTATGCTGGGAACCAATAATTTCGTCATTGTCACGAAATGCTAGTCCACGGGATGCTAAAAATTTCATAACTGACACCACCCTTTGTAAAACATTGAACCAAATTCTTTTTCTTTGTTGTATGCGTTTCCATAGAAATGTCAATTCGGCTTTGACAACATCGTACACTAATCAGGGTCTGTACACATTCTCGGTGCGTTTCTGTATTCTCATGGGATTTAATTCTATGTGACGCATTTTTCCAATCAGAAAATCCTGTTTGAAACTGTGATTGGTTTTCAACGCCACCAAAAAGAACACATTGTAAACAGTATACTTTTCCAGTCGATGAGGAATACATGAGCCACTCTCGTTTCATTTTACCACCACTTATATGTTTACGAAAAAACATTGACTGAGAAAAAAATCTTTTGCTATCTTCGTATTGACGGCTTGAAGCAGAAAAATCACAGTCAAATTGTTGACATTCGTTAAAATCTCTGATACACCAATAATCTTGTATTTCTTTGGTAATATTTTGCCACAAGCCAATGTCGTTCTGGTATTCTACAACTTGATAGGTTACGTTTTGTTGTGGTGATTGGACGTCGTTCTCAGCCTCACTACCCTNAAATTGCATTCTCGCATATTTACAAAACCCTTTTTTGCCTATCACAGAATCTCAATAGTTGCTGAAATATTAATAACTTAAAAAACAAGTTTAATTTATAATCTTAATTTAGTATGAATATCAGATTAGAAAATATCTATATCGATCTTTCCAATTAAATGAACACCGGACACAGCTGATATCATAAAATTTGAGATAGAAATATTCATGGTATCTACCCCTCAGTTTTGAGAAGCAATATGATTAACCCAATCACAGAAATTACTAAATAAAATTATACCAGTTTCATGAAGAAAAAAAAAAGGAAGAATATCATTATAATAATTGATACAAATTAGATTCAATACTGAAAGTAGCACTTACCGTGATATGTGATGCATTTATATATCCATATTTATTGTTTTTGGATGGAGTCAGTCTTAGGCGATTCTCCTCGTATGGAAGGACATCCTTGAACCTGTTGTGAGTAGCATTATCTGGATGGAGAGCTGTTTTGAAATCGACGTTTTGTTTCTTTTTAGGAATCTTGTCGAATTCGAAAAATAATTGACTGTCCGCTAGTTTATTTTCCAAGAGTTGGCACTGAAAAATTTTTTAGTCATACAAAACTTCATAGTTCATTAGTTTTCTTCGTTTAGTGAGAAATAGCTCATCTGATTGTATGTCGGATTATAACAGTGTACAATTAGGAAAAAAGTACAAGAACATTTTTTTCTGTTTGACTCCCACAAGTGCTACAGTATTTAGTGTACAAAAGCCAAAACAGGGGTGATTAACCTCCTTTTCCTAGCTACTTGTTTGATCCTTCATGGACCATAAAGTAACTGATGATTCAGACTGTGAGTCCTCAGAGGATATGTGGTCCGGCTATTAAATAACGAGACTGCGCGCCTAGAGGGCGCCCTAGAGGGGTGGAGAAAAAACAAGTAGTGCGTTGGGTATCTGGAAATATTCTCTATTTACGTACCAAAACACTATTATAGTATTTGTGCAGTAGCGGATTGAAACGAACGTGTTTTTTTCTCGTGCCAATAACCATGGGTGACGAAAAACAGAAGCAACGGATCAATCTCAAATTTCTCGTTAAATTGGAAAAACTCCGACTGAGTGCTATTAATTGTTGCAAGAGGCCTATGGGGACAATTCTCGTGCACGTTTTTGAGTGGTGTGAGCACTTCAGTGAGTGCCGAGAGGATGACCAGCGCCCAGGTCGCCCTGACACTGTTTCAACTTCGGAAACGGTGACCAAAATCAACCAAATAGTGCGTACAGATTGCCGAGGCTGTAAACGCCGATAAAGAAACAGTTAGAAAAATTTTACACGAGAATTACACATGACAAAAGTTTGTGTGAAGTTGGTGACAAAAACCTGACTCCCGACTAAAAGATCTTACGTCAACAGGTCTATTACCTCGAAAGGTTAGAACATCCCGGACTGATGAAAAACATCATTACTTGCGACGAAACGTGGATTTTTCAATACAATGTTGAAACAAAGCGGCAATTGATGCATTGGAAGACGCCTAAATCGTCAAGAATAAAAAAAGCAAGGATGTCCAAATCAAAATTCACGGCAATGTTGATAGTTTTTTTTTCAACATTAACGGTTTCGTGATGACTGAATGGGTTCCAGAGGGTCAGACTGTCAACCAGACTTACTATTTGTCAGTTTTGGCAACACTGCGAGAAAGAGTTCGTAAGAAACGACTCGATTTGTGGAAGAACAACTCCTGAATTTTGCACCTGGACAACGCACCTGCCCATAACGCGCTATCTGTGAAGCAGTATTTGGCCGATAAAAGCACTCCAGTACCCGAACACGCGCGGTACTCGCCGGATTTAGCACCGTGCGACTGTTTTTTGTTTCCGAAGATAAAATCTGCTTTGAAACGGACTCGATTTGAGTCGATGAAAACGTCAGCCGGACCTAGTATGGATATTGAATAAATGATCCCAACTATCCTCCCAGTAACATCAGATAAATAGCAAGAGATCTGTTCTCCAACTCTTAATTGTAGGTTGTGCAGTTATGAAGTTATATTGCCTCCCTAAGAGCAGGATATCCTAGAATCTGCCAACACCTAAACTTACTCATCACAACATTGTGTATACATAGCAGGCGAACAATTAAAATTGGTTGAATCCATACGAGATCTTGATGTAGTGGTGGCTGTCAAAATCGGGGAATGAGAATAATTTTAAAATCTAATAGGTATACACCAATTTCTACCATGCTATCTGCTCTACAATGGCTCTCAGTATCCAATAGATTATTCTATTGTTCCATGGTTTTCATTTATAAAATATAATCTTCAAGAATCAAAACACAAGATAAGTAAAGATAACCTCAAAATCCTACACATATGTAGTAAAGGAAAAAAAAACAATTCGTTAGAAGCCATGGAAATTAACAAATCAATTAAAAACCTGAAATATATACCCTTAAACGAGCAACTTGATTCATGTAGGTATACACTCTTGAATTTATAAGTTTTAACAACCCCTATAATCTTCAGTGTTGAATTTTATAGTTGGCACCCTGGTTTGTTCAACTACCTGTCCTTCTATCTTTCCTAAAAAATCCCGATATAACCGAGTTTTCAAATTTCACATTTTAGTTTCATACTTGATAATGGGGTTAAACCCGAAACCGGTCACATAAATAAAATTAACTAGTGGAAGTTAGACAAAAGTGTTTTTATTCATTTCATTAAAGTGTTTAGGAGTCGTCCATTAATCACGTGAGGCTTGAAAGGGGGGTTGGGGTTTAGCAAAAAATACGAAATTAGACAAGAGGGGAGGGGTGTGTAGTAAGATATCACATGTGTTTATTTTTTCGTGAAACTCGCAATTTCTAAACCAAGAAGCGACGTGTAATCACAGAGTATCGAAATTTTCAATATTCTGTGGTGTAATGTGACTTTGACACGCCATGGCCAGACAACGAACGAAGTCCCGGGCGCAGCTCACTACGACGAACACCCAGCTAAGCTTGCCAGTCGCCAGTTATATTCTGCTATTATGGAGCCGTTACCTCGTACGTTTTTCATTAAAACAATATCTGAACTAGGTGATCTGTATAGAGACCTATTTGCAGAGTATAAGAAAGGAAAAATTTCAAGATTCTTTGTGGGTACTAAAAAGTACACGATATTTGGTGTGGGAGGGAGGTTAGTCTTAAACTTCACCACGTATCACCAAGAGGGAGGGGGTGTTAATAAATGCTAAAAGAAACACCACATCATTGATGGATGGCCCTCCTTAGTTATGACATCACATTAGAAACCTCTAAAATTATCAGTGTGTCTTTACTATATTATGCATGTTATATACATATAAACCTTCCCTTTGAATCACTCTATCTATTGAAAAAACCCGCATCAAAATCTGTTGAGTAGTTTTAAAGATCTAAGCATACATAGGGACACAGCAAGAAGCGACTTTGTTATATGTTAAGTAGTGATTCATAATTGGATTATATAAGGTTAGAGTAGTGTTAACGATCTAATATTTGTAGAATCGTGTATAAAAATTGGGATTTATCCGTAAATAAATTAATAATAAATAAACATATTGTTGATTCTATAAGAGGTTGGTATATTACTTTCAGGTGAGTTATGCTTCAGTTCTCTACAATTATGTAGCAAAGTTTTTGTAATATTTGAGTTCATCTGTTGGAGATAAATTACTGAAAATGATAAATGAGGATTTTTGGATGATCCAGCAGTATGAAGAATGCTTTGATATGAAAAAATTGTGGATTGGGCACAATGTTGTATTGAGCAAAAATAAAAAAGAAGAAATGCAAGAATTGTAACCGCTTTCATGAAAAATGATCATGTCATTTTCTGTCAACTACCACACTTGAAGAGGTGTTTGGGAGAAACCTGAACAATCGTAAGCCACCAGCAAGAAGTTTTCAAAGCCACACATTGTCAAAAGTTTTAGATATATCAAAGGCCACTGCTAGATATTTGTCTATCTCTCAATAGAGCAAACTTTATAAATATATGAATTAAGCTGAAATAACTTTGGTTGGTCATATTAATTTATACATACATGAAATTCTAGTAAATTATATGACTGTTGAATGCGCACCAGTCTAAAACATTTCACGATGTCAAACATCAAATAATTTAAGTTCAAAATTTTTCAGATATTTCCATAGAATTTTTTTCAACGAATTTTAAACCTTTCAATTATTCAACTTGAACAAACCTTGGGACTACTTACCATAGTCTCTTTACTGATAGCAGGTGGCAAGGGGTTGAACCTCGGTAAACCAGTCGACCACCTATGCTTGTTACTGTTCTGGCTGTTTTCCTCATCTTTCTTCTTCTTCTCTCTGCCAAGAGTGGCGCTCTTCACCTTCTCCCCAGATTTACTCCTCCCCATCAAAATGCCCCATCGCTTCTTCTTTGACTTGGAACTGACGTTGGATGTTGAACTAACGTCCGTATAATTACTGCTTTCGTTTGTCGATTTCGTGACGCCAGAAGGAAAAGATGCGGTGCTGTTGATTGTGGAATTTACTCGAGAATACTCTTTTTCTGCCGAATTGGGTGGTTCATTAGCAATGCTTGACATATGTGTTGTGTCTAAATTGTGGGTAGATCGATCGCTGTTGTTCAAATTAATAGGACTAGAGGTGAGATTGTCGAAGTCAGTTTTTGGGGAAGACTGCAAACGGTCAATATTCGCGTAGAGGTTTTCTCTACTGCCTGTAAACTTCTAAATGGTTAGTTATATCTATGAGGATCCTCCGGGAGAAGGAAATATTAAAGATCAGATAGTTGTTAGTTAACAGATGGATCAAAAACACCTTGTGGTTCTGGTGCAGGTGTTTTCAGTTGCAGACCCAGGACAGAGATATTAACCTACCTAGGAACCTATGCAACTGTATTTCAAGCGGAAATTTATGCTATTGAATTGTGTGCAGCGAGATTGGAAGAATCCAACCTCATACACAAGTCAATAAAAATATTCTCGCACAGTCAAGCGGTGTTGGAAGGTCTTGGCTCCCACCGAGCAATGTCTAAATTGGTAGCAAATTGCCAAAAACGACTCTCCTCGATAGGAAGACTTAACAGATTGTCTCTGGTCTAGATTCCTGGCCATACCAGCCTGAAAGGCAATGAGGCTGCTGACTCCCTTGCAAAGGAGGGTGCTGAAAGCAGTTTTATCGGACCAGAACCTGTCATTGGTATCACTTTAGGCTTTGCCAAACAAAGATTTAACACCTGGATGGCAAAGAGATTTATGGACTTCTGGCATAATCTTCCAGGATTGGCACACTCCAAGACGTTTATTCACCCTTCAAAGCTTGATATCAAACAGTTGTTGGACTACATTAGGGATGAACTACGATGTCTAACAGGCCTTCTTGCAGGTCACTGTCATTTGAATCATCATATACAGAGACAAGGACTGTCGGAAGATAGTGTGTGTCGCCTCTTTTTGGAAAATGATGAAACAGCAGAGCATATACTTTATGCCTGCCCCGCTGGGGACCGAATCAGGTTTTGAGAGTTCGGCAGAGCCGTACTCTTACCGTCTGACCTGAAAGACCACTCACCATACAATCTAATTGGCTTCATTAAGAAGCGGGGTTTATTTGGTCGGGTGTGAATAGGTGTGAGCCACAATAAACCCTTGCTGGTTGCGGTGGAGGGTCGAATAGACCCACTCACTTTGGACCTAACCTGACCTAACCTATATCTATGAATAATAGAAAAATGAGTTTTAAAAATATTTGTTTTCATAATGTTTGCCTTGATGTTGAAAAGAAAATATGTTTAAATGCGGTTGAATATCATGGCAAAGAGAAAATGCATAGGCTGGATTGATTTTAAGGGTGTTTTAATTCACCGATTCAAATCTTGCTTTTCACAATATAGTTTGTTAACACTGAAAACCAGGGAAAAATAATAAGTTTAGGTGATGACACCACTATTATCTATGAAAGAATATGGGATAAGCTGAAAATTGAAAGTCGAAATAATGTGAAGGAAATTCATAAATGGTTTTGATATAATAAACTCACTTTAAATATAGAGAAAACTCGTCATCTGCCATTTGGATTATATCAAAATTAACGACAACACTGAAATTCAGAAAGCGGATAATATGAAATATTTAAGAATGATAGATATTTTTTATGATAGTTATGATAATATACATATACACATACAAGTACGTTGAAATATTCAAATGACGCATTCCTGTGACAATTTTAAGAGATACAGGGTGTTGAAATTGATTTTTTGTTCGTTTTTTATTAGTTAATTGCACGAAATTTGGTACCCGAGGTTTCACTGTTACGTAGAAACTCAATTATAGATCTTGGTGTATATTTTGATTAAAATTTGTCTTTTTCCAATCACATTAGATCGAAAGTAAGTGAAGCATTGAGAGTTTATGGTTTTATAGTTTGCAATTGTAGATATTTTTCAAAATTACATTCTACAATTGCTATAATACATTAATTGAAAAAGTTCAACATCGTTTTTTAAAGTTCATTTACTTCAAATCTTATGGTATCTATTCTGATAGAGGTATTCCATTTGAATCTCTTACCATAACATTGAATATTGAAAGTTTTGAACTACGCAGAAAACTTGCTGGAATAATTTTTCTATATAAATTACTGCCCAACAATGTGGATGCTACATCTTATAAATTTCTGTGTGACTCATTTTAGAACTAGGAGTACAAAAACTTTTTACAGCCGACTGGCCAGAACAATTTGTACCTCAAGTCACAAATTTCTAATTTGTGTGATATCAATTTTGAGTCCCTAGAACAGTGGTCGCCAACCTCTTCAATGTGTTGAGCTACTTTGTTAATTTTGGAATAAACAGCGAGCTACCCACACGGAAGCCACGTAACGATCAGTAACTTATGATGACTTCAAAGTGCATTTTGACATCATACTTCGCTGGCACTATGTCTCCAGTTTTAAATATGGGTGATCGATCATATCTAAAATCTTCTTATGTTATGTTTCTTGCATCACATATATCCTTGTCTAAAGATTGTATCGAGGAGAGATACATACGTGTCTTCACTGATGAGAGTCTGTAGCTGATCTACTTGAATAATTTCAGCATGGTCCTGCTGCTGTATGTAAGAGAACATCTGCGATCAGAGCAGGATTAACCCTGTATGGGCCTGTAGGCAATACAATTTTCGGTCCCCTTTTCTTTACCTACTCTGACTGACTAAATCATGTGATGTATTTTTTGGCCTCCTACCCACATTCCTGAATACAATTCCCGATATAGGCATGGATGACGTCCTAAGGGCGGGTTCAGACATGCGCAGGCTCTATGCGTGCTCAATGCGGGTTGGCTGCGTGTTAGTACAGAGTCACCCGCGCAGCCCACGCGTAGAGTACGCGTACGTTTGATTCCGCCCTAAGTCTAGGTGTTTTCTATGTATATATGAAAAATTAAACGCGACTCAGTTATTTTTAATTTAAAATATATATTTAACCAAACGCAATAAACAAAATAAAAAGTGAAGTAATTTCAGTACCTTCTGTTAATTTAAATATGGACTTTTCTAACTTTTTTAGATATAAAATCTTTTACGACTTCTTCAATGTGGACCTTTTCCAATACAACATTTTCAATTGCCATTATCGACAATGAATTTAAGTGATGTTGAGAAGAGAATTTTTTAATAATTTCAATTTTGAAAAATTTCGTTCTCCTGTCGCGTTTGTTATCATCAAACTTCTATAAGTTTGCAATGCTATCATAACATTTGGGAAAGTTGATTGAACCATATTATCAATTTATACGATTCTTCAGCAGCTACAATGTTATCTTTCCCGGCATCCTCCAATTGTAAGACGAAGTACTTGAACTGCACCATCTCGTTTATAAATTCATGCTCAATGTCCTCCGAATAATGCTCACAAAATTTTGTACAAGCCTCTTTGATTTGATCGTCCGACTTTATTAAGAAATCTGTTAAAAATCC